AAAGCCTTTCTAGGGGCTGGTAGTTGGCATTGAAGTTCAGCAACTCGACCAAACTTCCTTCGAAAGACGGATGCCAATCCTAGTGCGTTTTGAATACTGGTCGGTATGGTATGGACCAGTGAGTAGTAATCTGGAAGTGCGAGTAGATCTTGCTTTTCTTCAGTGGTAACACCATGTCTCGTTGTACCGGACTTGATATACACTTGTCTCCAGCCGGTTATGGTGTACTATCATCGGCTTTCCCTTTGGAATCTTGCTTATTCGGTAGATGACATCATTAATCTTTTCCATAATGCGATAAGGACCTTCCCAGAACTGCTGCAAGCTAGGATAACAACCCTTTCGCTTCTTTGGATTATATAGCCAGACTTAGTCATTCTTAAAATATCTTTTTTCGACTTTTGTATTGTTTCTTCATTCGATCGCTAGCGATCTGAAGATGGGAACAAACCAATCGTGTATCTAGTCCATTCTTCCTGCAATTGCTTCACATACTCTTGGCCAGTACAAATTATGAATCTTATCAACAAATTTTCAACAATGTCAGAGTTGTTTAAAATTTGACATGTGATGTGATCACAATAATACATTTTGATATTCCTGCATTTTTAAAATTTAAGATGGCTGAAGCAGAAGCATGACAAAAAGAAATAAAACCCAGATTTTGTTTTTTAATACCATACAAATTTATAGTTGAATATTAATTTTTTTTCTATTGTCTCTTCAGATATTCAAGAAACTGTGTCTTCTGATGGGGCTTCTTCTTCTTTCTCTTTCTCTTCTTCTGCTCCTTTGTTAACAATGGCAAGACAGATGCAATGATATCCAGACAAAGAATTTCTTCTAACCCTCAATCATCTCAATTCGTAGCTCAAAAACGAAAAAGACGCAAAACCGAAAGTTTTATTGAATCCTTTCTTATCAAAACAACTACAAACCAAAAGGAGGCTCTAGACAGACAATTAGCACTTTATATATATATATATATATATATATATATATATATATATATATATATATATATATATATATATATATATACAGTGAAACTTGGATAATTCGAACCTCAAGGGACCGTTAAAAAAATTCGAATTATCCAAAAATTCGAATTAAAAATATATCCACAAAAAAACAAAGGTGTCTACAAAAACATCTGCAAACGATAAAAATCAACAATAGTTGACCGTTTTTATCACTTGCAGATGTTTTCTGCAGAGATATCGAAATATTTTATCGTTTGCAGAATTATTCAAAAATTTGAATTAAAAATATATCCACAAAAAACAAAGATGCCTACAAAAACATATACAAATGATAAAAATCCACAATAGCTGACCATTTTTATCGCTTGCAGATGTTTTCGTTACTATTTTTGCCCGAATTTTGTCAACCGAAAAAAATGGGCCAACAAAATTAGGTCAGAATAACAATTAAAGCATTTGCAAGCTATAACAAATGGTCAATAATTATTGTCGATTTTTATCATTTGCAGGTTTTCTCAATTGTGTTTTTGTCCAAATCTTAGCCGAAACAATCGGCAGATAAAAAATTCCCAGTGAGAACGCATCATTAAAAAAATAAAACATTTTGTCTCAAAAAAATTATTGAAAATAAGAATACACATTTGTTACAATTAATGAAAATAAACTAATTTTTTCTAAAGAAATCCAAAATTTTTAGCTGCTTTTTAGAATTTAACGTCTCGGTAATGACAAATGATTCTAAGATGTTCAGTTAACTAAAAATAGAGTGACTTTCATTTTTACTTTCAAAGTACCGTTTAAGTTGCGTAATATAGTGTGTTGCTTCGGCCGCACTCGGAACATGTATTTCTCCCGCAACTGATGATGCGTCGTCTTCATCACTCTCTTGTTTTTCATCATTGTCCTTAAGCACTTCAGCGATTATCTCTGTATCGGTTATTTCACCACATACTGCAACATCTTCATCCACGTTGACAAAATCTTCATAAGAGATGGCAGGATCAGAATTGATGTCCCCCAGCAGTCAACTAAAAGCAGCTCTTCTGTTAAATTGTCGTCTGTGTTCTCCTCCTTTTTTATGAAACCAGCTCTTTTGAAACAGTGTTTGATCGTTTCGGGTGTTACTTGGTCCCAAGCTTTCTTACACATTCGAGATGCTTTTAGAATGTCTAATTTTATTTTAAGGGTGTCGCAATCTTCATTCAATATGTTTTCAACCAAAAATGTCTGTAAAAATGTTTAAATTTTTTTATGACACCCTGGTCCATAGGCTGAAGAACTGAAGTCATGTTAGCAGGAAAAAAAATAACTTTTACATTTTCCATCAGTGGGATAGTGGTGTGTGCCGTACAATTGTCAATAAACAAAATAACTTTTCTTTTTTTTTTATGAACTTTTTGTCTAATTTTTTCAGCCAGTTCTCGAAAAGATCACTAGTCATCCAAGCTCTTGCGCTGCTCACATATTCCACTGGTTTTGACTTGACGTTCTTAAAACAACGCGGATTCGCCGACTTGCCAATCATCAGTAGAGGCAGTCTTTCTAATCCGTCCATGTTTGCACCAATTAGGAGAGTTACTCTTTCTTTACTTAGTTTTCCTCCGTGACATTTTTCATTTTTAAATGCTAGCGTTTTGTCAGGAGTGCATTTAAAAAAGAGACCCGTCTCGTCAACATTAAAGATATCTCTTTCATCTATACCCTGAATCATCTATTCCAAATTTTTTTCCACTGGTTGGCTTCTTGCTGATTAATGGTCCCACTTTCTCCACAAATGGATTTGAAAGAAATTTTGTTGCGTTCTTTAAAGCCGTCGAGCCACCCTGTACTCGCCTTAATGTTTTTCCCATTTCAATAGCAAATTGTTTAGCTTTGCTTCTTATAAGGGGACAACTCACGGAAATCTTCTTATTGAACTTGTTTGAACTTGTTTGAAAGCTTGTTTGAACCATTTTAACACACAACTGTCTAAATTTGGATTTTCTGGCTCACTTAACCTTTTTCTATCTTTACCGCACTCACTTTCACTGTTGAGAATTTTTTTTTTATTCTTCAAGTAGGTGGATAATGTGTTAGGAGGAATTCCAAAGTCCCTGGCAATCTATGATTTTTTCTTCGTCCCCTTTTCTACTTCTCTAATTGCCGCTATTTTTTCCGATAACGTTAAAGTTTTGTATGTTTTCGTATTACCATGAAATGATATCTTTACTCAATACGAAGTGACTTGACGTGATTTGCGGTGATTTCAATTGCAACGCCAACGCATCTCAACTGAAAGGGCGTGCCAGATGGGCTAGAATTGAGGTGACAGGTATGGGTACAATGTACAATGGCCTTAAAACAAGTGGCACGTTAGAACAGAAAAGAAAAGAATACTACCTCTTTTAGCGGAAATTTCCAGCATGAAATTGGCATTTTTAACTTGTAGAAAAGTTCGAATTATCCAAAATATAATTCGAATTATCCACGACTTTTTAACATTACTTATATAGGAAATGCTAGGGACCAGAATAAAAATTTGAATTAAAGAAGATTTCGAATTAATGAAGTTCGAATTAAGCAGGTTCTACTGTATATATATTTGCTACAAATTCAATACAATTCATGATCAAACGCAGTTTTTTTCGTATCATAGAAAAACTCCTACCTGGTTACAAACCACCTAGTCGAAGAGATAAGTGAACACTTGCTTGACAATATTTATGATAAATGCAAAAATTTCCCTCTTGCTAGGGAAGCGGCTAGATCTTAATATTACATACGGCTGCTCTGCACACATTTTAACCCTTTCAGTCACAGTGTCGTCAATTGACGACACAAGAATTTTAACTTTGTTTAAGAAAGGGCAATGTTGGCCCTATTTTAATAAAAAAAATGCTAATATTCCTACCAAAAGACCCAAAATACATTAAGAATATCATAACCGGGAATAATTTGGAATTATTAACAATATATATTTCATTACACTAAAAAAAGCGTGACCAAAAGGGTTAAACCTTCTGGCTAACAACTGTCAATCTTCCAATATTACTAAACACATAGTTAGTATTGTTAAATACTTTCGGAATAATCATTTTGTAAATGCATGTTACCGCAAATATGGAAATTTAAAATTTGGTGTACCCATTGAAGTTGTCTGGGATCTTATATTAAAGCTTGGCCAACATTGCTTAAAATTTGCGAAGAAAATAGGCAGACGATATAGATATACATGTACAATTCGTGATTCTGTACATGTATGGAAGGAGCTTGAAAAAAATTTCAGAAATATTAAAAAGGAGGAGTGTATAAAAATATTCATAATTCATTTCATGCAATAATTCAATACATCAAAAACACTGGAATTCGAAAAAAAAAGTATCTTGAAATTCACGTTTTGTCAATAATTACAAAGTATCAGGCAAAAAGTGTACCTTTTCAAAAACATTTTTTTGAAAGCAGTGTGACTTCAAAAGTGACAATGATTGAGTGGTGGAAAATCCACAAAAATATTGATACTAACATCGTTAATGTTATTGAACAAATTCACACAGCCCAAGCATCTTCGGCTGGCATTGAAAGAATTTTTTCTTCCTTTGTGTTAGTGCAGTCGAAACTTCGAAACAGATTGGGTACAGCAAAAGCCTCCAAACTGAAGTTTTTACTTGAAGTTTTTAAATCTATCGCAAATGAAGAGAATGAGGATAAATAAATTCTATTTTTGTATTTTCGAACTTGGTTATTTTGAATATTATTACGTTTGAAGATGTTTTTTTTTTGTTAATTTAATTTTTCCTGTGTGTAAACAAAAATAAATGTCGTCTTAATCACTTTTTTCATTGCTTGTTGCTATTATTTTATAAAATAATTTATTCATTTTTAAAGTATTTAGACTTATAAGACTTTGTATCAAACAAACCTGGTTTAAACCAAATAGACCAGGTTTAAACCACATAAACCTGGTTTAAACCACAAACCTGTTTTTTGGTTTTTTGGAAAAAACCTTGATTTTTGCTAACCCTTCTAAAAATATAGAATTCATAAAATACCTGTAGAAAACTTTTCAACCATTTGTGAGATTAATTCTGGCCACTTTAGAGGAAAATCAGTCTTTCCAATAATGCTAATAGCATCACTTAACTGTTTTTGAATTGATTCAGGTGAGCTTAACATTAAAGTAACTATCAAATTCTTTATCGCAACCCGATCAGATTCATGAATCCTATCAACTCCATCTTCTTCCTAAAATGTACACAAGCTTAATAAATAATTAGATTAAATTATAATTTAATATCTTTTGTTTATGTTGGAAAATGAATTAAGAAAATAACCAAACATTGCACAAAAAAAGCAAAAGATTTTCATTAGATTGAATGTATATATCATAAAACAATGAAATATTAATGTTTTAACAAAATATAACAACATAGTGGACAACTTTTGCTAGCTTATTGAATAGAGTAGTTAAAATCAATAGGGATAGTAAAATCGAGTCAGAAAAATAATTTTACCGTATTTTTGATTGAAACTAACAGCCTCATAAAGGATTTTAAACAATGGTGGCCTAAATATTATTAAAAAAAAGTGCTTATCCGTGGAAACTTCTAGCAGAGATGTACCAAAAGATCAAAAGCAAGCATTCACAATTGCATCATTCAATCACTTTTCTTATTCTAATACAACAAAACGATATGTGAACAGCCTCATAAAGGATTTTAAACGATGGTGGCCTAAATATTATTAAAAAAACGTGCTTATCCGTGGAAACTTCTAGCAGAGATGTACCAAAAGATCAAAAGCAAGCATTCACAATTGCATCATTCAATCACTTTTCTTCAATCAACAAAATGATATGTGATCGCACGTGACTTTATAGATGGTTTTACACAACATTTGTTTAAACTTTCAATAACAGATACTGTTTTTGATTTTCCTGTAGAGAAAGCTTACCCTGACCAAAAAATTTGTATTAAAGACAATGATAAATTTACGCAAGTTTAAGCCTTATGTGAAAAATGAAGAAGTAGAAGACTAAAGAGTTTTATTCCGAAATTTTTGACTGGCCTACAACAGCAGTAGAGTACAAAGTTGATTAGTAAAATTATTATCTTTTGTACACATTACTGTTTACTACAATTTCTTTCTATTGTTCTATTCAAAGTTTAATATGTAAAATATATTATTAAGTTGGCATTGTGAAAACATAGTTTTATTTTAGAAAATTTTCGAAAAATAGCAGTCATTTTAAAAACCTCATATATCCATCGACTTTAATGGTGTTTTATAAAAAAAGTATTATGTCAAAATCTGCAACATATGATCGAAAGCATTGCATATCTTATGTACATTAGTACCAAGCCACAATAATTGGTCTCTCAAACAATATATTGTGTTAAAACAGTTTTTCTCGTTTTTCTTAAAAGCACTACTACTGGATATATGTGGTTTTTAAAATGACCAATTCATATATGAAACAATGTTTAATACTTACCACAAACCAATTTCTTTTTATATAATTTTTAAATGCTACAGCTCCAGCAATTCTAATTGTCATGTCCACCTCTGGTTTATGTACAAGATTTAATATTAATAAAGGATAATTTTGATTAACTTCTACACCTTCCAAAAATTTTTCAGCTAAAACAAATAATATTTATTAGCTGAGAATACAAACTTAAAATATATTTTTGGTTCATTATTTTACAAGATGTCTACATAGTGTGGAAGATTATTTTAGCTTTAAGTGTGTGTTTTATAACTAATATGGTTGGCAGGGCCAGAAATAACAGGTCTGCAAGGGATGCACTACAGGTTGGCACATCTGTTTGGGGGGGGGGGGGGGGAGGTGCCCAATGAGCTTTTTTTCTGCTTTAATAACAGGGTTTTACAAAATAGTAAAATAAAAAGTAAAATTTTTTAACTGTGATTTCAATTCCAATCATAATATGCTAAACTATGTTTGTTATTTTTGCATCTCACACATGTAAAGTACAGAAAAAATATACAGGGCATAGAATTCCTACCCTGTAATAATAGAATTCATAAGTAAATAATATATTATTATGTTTAAAAAAACAAATAACCTTTTGTATATACTTAACCATGATTTGTAGTAAAATAAACATTTTACATAAAACTTTTATTACCAGGAGCTTTGTCAATTATGATTCTGTGTAGTTAAAAGAATATTCTGTGTAGTTAAAAGAATGTAGTTATCTAATGTTGCATTCAATTAACATAAAATTATGTGTGGTAAGTATACTGTACTTTTATTACATTATGGTTTCACATTATTACATTACTGCACAAAGACCATATTTGGGTTTTAAAGTTATTTTCTTTAGTTAAATACTAAATTTTGTATGTTTGCCAAAAGATTAAATAAATATAATGAAATGAAAAAAAAACTGAAGGGTGCCTATGCTAGTTTTGCAGGCAGACACCTTATATCCTAGCACCAGGATTGGTGGTTGGTATGAAATATTAGTAATAATCAAATCCTTTGGTGTCCCATTAAAAAATCAAAATAATTTATTTTAAGAGACACAATTCTAATGAGAGGTTTTAGAAAAAAATTAAAATCATCAAAAAAATCTGAAAAAGAAAAGGGTCTTTATATAGTTTTCCTTAATAATTTAGAAATACTACTTTTTTGTTGTAAGTTATATATTTTTGAACATTGTATAACCATGAAATGTGTTGTTAAAAGGTGAAACTTGTTTCATTTACATTGTGAATTCACACATTCTTAAGATTCATCCAAGACTAGGACATTTTCCTTTCCCTTGATAATAAATGATGCGCTTATATATTAAGACCAGTTATAAGAATGTATGTGGAAGCCCAAATAATAATTCAAATATTATATATATTAGTTATCCATCATAACTTACCGGGTCTACGAACATTGGGATCTGGATTAAGTGTCTCCTGTAGATATTTACTTAAAACTTGAATATTTTCATCGGACATTTCCATCTTGACAAATTTAAGCACCAATTATTTTAAAAAAATCGTTATTAAATAGTTATTTTCACTCTGTTTTCACTGAATATCTAACCTAACAAAGCTGTGCTGTAGCCGGGATCGGGGATAGAAATAGATATGATCATGATCATAGCACACTACCACCTAGCATTGAAACTTCCGTGTTGACGAGTAAAACAATGATTGGCGCATCACCTAGTGACCGGGCGCCTAACTATAAATACATGGCGCGAAATTCAAAATTTTTGTAATATTACCTAGGATTGTGAACTCATTTTAAAGTAAAGGAAAATCGATATAATCTTAAAATAACAAGAAAAATCCTTATCCTATACGATAATAAATATTTTTCGTATACTTTTTGGGTTTTCTTGTTATGTTGAGACTATATTTATTTTACATTACATTAAAATGCCAAAGTGGTAAAAAAATTAAAGAATAAAATATAGAATAAAATCTTTATTTATAAAAATATTACAAGAAATGTTATATGTGTTACAAGAAATATTAATAATACAAGCCAAGTGTACTATAATTTAGTTTTCTTAATGTTGTGGCAAGAACTGGTCAGTATTTAAATAATTGTTTTGTCTTAGTATGTCAAGTTTTATGTAAATAGAAGCCTAATTCTGCAAAAGGCCTTTTACTACAATTTTATTCCCAAAATTTGCAAAGAATTCAAACATTGGTATAAACATTCAAGATTTTTTTAGAAAGCAATGAATCTAAAGATAAATCCCTAGAAGACAAAATAAGTACATGCTTGTAATAAATTTAGTCTATAATTACATAAGCGAATCAATCAATGGGGAAAACCAATTGCTTTTTTCACACATACTCTTACAGATTCAGAATGAAAACATGCAAATGCATTGAAGTATTAAAAAAATGCAGACATTATCTGGTAGGAAAGCAATTCAAACCAATCACAGATTAAATCACTATTTTGTTTATATAGAATGCTGGCATATATAAAATCTGACAAGGAGAACTAGCTTTACTTCACAAGAATTTATTAATTATCTACACTCTAAAGGAATATTTCAAGTAGAACAACACCATATAACCATGAAGGAAATGGTTAAGTTGAAAGATACAATGAGTTATATAGAAATTGGTGAATCTAGCATTGAAAACCAAATATTTAGACATCACTAAATGAAAAACTGCTTTACCAGGAGCTCTGTACTATATAAGAAGTTTACTATTGAATTGTTATATTATTGAATCACGATAATGATGAAGTCCAAATAACACATTAGAGAATTCCACTACTAAATCAATGCCAGATGTGACAGAAAATTTACCTGTTCAAAAACCTGATGATAATTATGAACCAAGATTGGAAAATTCAGATTTTCAATCTAGCTGTAAATCAGCTGGAGCTAAAAATAAACCAAGATAGTTGCAATATTTTGTTCACAAATAGGGAAGGGTAAATGTAGTATAATTTAGTGTTCTAAATATTGTGACAAGAACTTGTCAGTAATTAAACAATTTTTTTGGAATTCTAATGTCAAATTAAAGCCTAATAAGCAACAGACAGCTGTCAGACATTCTGAGTTCTTTGTAGTACTTACATCCTAATCTAATAACACACACTACCAGTGGTCAGTGAGAACTCTTACTGTCTGGCGTTCTACTCACAGAAAAACAGAACTCAAGAACTCTGCTAAGTTGGAAACAGAAAAATTAAATGATTTAGTTCTAGAAAGAACTTTATATACATTTATATGATAATATTTTAGTCATATTTAAACCTATAAAACCAACAGTTAGCTCTAAGATCCAGCACTATAAAGATGGAAAAATAACATTAAAAATAAAAAAATATGTAAAGTATTACCTAGTTACAATAATATTATGAAGTATTTTACAAAGTTACATTTCCAAACTCTATCTTACCAGTAACTCTTTTCTACTAATATTTATATATTTATTGAGAGACATATTAAATACATTTAGATTTAGGTTGTTCTTTTGATTAAAAGTACATAGATGAGACAAACCATGGTAATATATGGTACTCTAAGACCAATCTCACTCACAAGAGAGAGACAGATCCCTCCTCGCACTTAACAGCAAGCTCATGGACCTCTGCATATGATAGTGTAGTCATGGTCTGCTAATCTAATCCAACTTTGAAACAGGCACACCTGTAGAAATTATGTCGAACCCTCTCTAAGGTGATGATTTTTAAGATAGTTGTTGAACCACCACCTACAAAATAATTCAAATAGTAAGCAAGTAAGTCTGATTTTATAATTAGGTTAAATTTATAATTTACTAATTTTATAAGTAAAAGGTCAAATACATACATATATTGGCATAATAGTTCTTACCTGGTGCTGGTAAAAACAAACTCAGAAGGGCTGTTCTCGTAATACCGGTATGTCCAACATTAATTATATCCTCCTCTTTAAAATGACTAGCGCATACACGAAAATTGTTATAAATAGTTTCTGTTGCAGCATTCTCTAATTAGGGCTTTTAACAGCATTCACCCATTTATCAAACATATCCATATTATAATCTCCTGGACTTGAAAAACGGTATTGCTTGCCAGTGGTAGTGTGCTTGCCTAGTATCCATGCAATCTGGAATACATCTTTTTTGTTCAGTTCTTCGTCACTATATTGTTATTCCATGTAATGTGTTCGATTCCATAATAAAAAATCGTCTAAAATTTTACCTTTTGCACTACTTATAAAAAAATTTAAACTATAAAATAAATTATAAAAAATAAAACAAATAAAAATATGGCGCCGTATTTGTCTAAATTCAACTTTTGATTTGACCACAGCATGACCACAGCACACTCCCTACGCGTAGAAACGAGACTAGCAGCGCCACCAAACGAATGGGCGCCTAAATCCGAACGTGATTTGACATTGCCTATCCCTGTTACCAATCTATAAATTTTATCTATGATCATGATATGATAATATATTAATGTGCATAGCACACTACCACCTAGCATTGAAACTTCCGTGTTGACGAGTAAAACAATGATTGGCGCATCACCTAGTGACCGGGCGCCTAACTATAAATACATGGCGCGAAATTCAAAATTTTTGTAATATTACCTAGGATTGTGAACTCATTTTAAAGTAAAGGAAAATCGATATAATCTTAAAATAACAAGAAAAATCCTTATCCTATACGATAATAAATATTTTTCGTATACTTTTTGGGTTTTCTTGTTATGTTGAGACTATATTTATTTTACATTACATTAAAATGCCAAAGTGGTAAAAAAATTAAAGAATAAAATATAGAATAAAATCTTTATTTATAAAAATATTACAAGAAATGTTATATGTGTTACAAGAAATATTAATAATACAAGCCAAGTGTACTATAATTTAGTTTTCTTAATGTTGTGGCAAGAACTGGTCAGTATTTAAATAATTGTTTTGTCTTAGTATGTCAAGTTTTATGTAAATAGAAGCCTAATTCTGCAAAAGGCCTTTTACTACAATTTTATTCTCAAAATTTGCAAAGAATTCAAACATTGGTATAAACATTCAAGATTTTTTTAGAAAGCAATGAATCTAAAGATAAATCCCTAGAAGACAAAATAAGTACATGCTTGTAATAAATTTAGTCTATAATTACATAAGCGAATCAATCAATGGGGAAAACCAATTGCTTTTTTCACACATACTCTTACAGATTCAGAATGAAAACATGCAAATGCATTGAAGTATTAAAAAAATGCAGACATTATCTGGTAGGAAAGCAATTCAAACCAATCACAGATTAAATCACTATTTTGTTTATATAGAATGCTGGCATATATAAAATCTGACAAGGAGAACTAGCTTTACTTCACAAGAATTTATTAATTATCTCCACTCTAAAGGAATATTTCAAGTAGAACAACACCATATAACCATGAAGGAAATGGTTAAGTTGAAAGATACAATGAGTTATATAGAAATTGGTGAATCTAGCATTGAAAACCAAATATTTAGACATCACTAAATGAAAAACTGCTTTACCAGGAGCTCTGTACTATATAAGAAGTTTACTATTGAATTGTTATATTATTGAATCACGATAATGATGAAGTCCAAATAACACATTAGAGAATTCCACTACTAAATCAATGCCAGATGTGACAGAAAATTTACCTGTTCAAAAACCTGATGATAATTATGAACCAAGATTGGAAAATTCAGATTTTCAATCTAGCTGTAAATCAGCTGGAGCTAAAAATAAACCAAGATAGTTGCAATATTTTGTTCACAAATAGGGAAGGGTAAATGTAGTATAATTTAGTGTTCTAAATATTGTGACAAGAACTTGTCAGTAATTAAACAATTTTTTTGGAATTCTAATGTCAAATTAAAGCCTAATAAGCAACAGACAGCTGTCAGACATTCTGAGTTCTTTGTAGTACTTACATCCTAATCTAATAACACACACTACCAGTGGTCAGTGAGAACTCTTACTGTCTGGCGTTCTACTCACAGAAAAACAGAACTCAAGAACTCTGCTAAGTTGGAAACAGAAAAATTAAATGATTTAGTTCTAGAAAGAACTTTATATACATTTATATGATAATATTTTAGTCATATTTAAACCTATAAAACCAACAGTTAGCTCTAAGATCCAGCACTATAAAGATGGAAAAATAACATTAAAAATAAAAAAATATGTAAAGTATTACCTAGTTACAATAATATTATGAAGTATTTTACAAAGTTACATTTCCAAACTCTATCTTACCAGTAACTCTTTTCTACTAATATTTATATATTTATTGAGAGACATATTAAATACATTTAGATTTAGGTTGTTCTTTTGATTAAAAGTACATAGATGAGACAAACCATGGTAATATATGGTACTCTAAGACCAATCTCACTCACAAGAGAGAGACAGATCCCTCCTCGCACTTAACAGCAAGCTCATGGACCTCTGCATATGATAGTGTAGTCATGGTCTGCTAATCTAATCCAACTTTGAAACAGGCACACCTGTAG